TATACTATATAAGCTACACATTATTGCATTATTATATCATTCCAGGCTTATTTTAAAAATATCACAACTTAAAAAAATGTTATTTTTATGTTAGTTATTATTATGAATAAATTAGATAAAAATTACTCTATTAATTATCAAAAGTAAACTACTAACTTAATAGTTAATGTCAAATAGCATTTGTGTCTGTTAAGATCTTCAAAAAAATTATAATCACCTTCTAAAAGAATAATATATTTTGAATTGTATTATTTTTGTAAATAAAAAGAGAATCTTTTACAAAAAATATTTAGAGTCAAGATAATTTTGGTGATCGAAGTTTGAAGAAATTGTTTTATATTGAATTTAATCATTTTTAGAGATCTGATCAAGATAAATATAAAAACTGTTTAATAATGTTTTGAGTTATGTCAGTTTGGATAAATTATTCATATTTGTATAATTGTAACAATTAAAAAATCTATTTATTGATCATATTTGACCTTGGATAACTTTGTCAAGGCAGATCAAAATTACATCGATTTTTTTTAATGAAATAGATCATTTCATTTAAAAAAAAATCTTACTTTTTATTCTAAAATCTAATAGCCGATGAGCTTTCCAAAATCCTATAATAAAGTGTGTGTGTGTGTGTGTGTGGGGGGGGGGGGTGCGAGCGCGCGCGCGCGTGTATTATACATACGCACACGCACACACAAAAGGTGTAAATCCGATTGGGCAACCGACCTCTACGCGGTATATCTTGGGTAATGCTAATACCGGCAGTACTATAACTTTTAATCTTTATAACTCGAGATTTACTTAATCAAAAGATACTTTATTATAATTTTGGAAAGCTCTGGACATCGGCTATTAGGTTTTAGAATAAAAGATGTTTCATTTAAAGAAATCGATATGACCTTGATCTGACCTGTAAAGCCATCCAAGGTTAAACTGATATAATCAATAAATAGATCTTTTTAAACCTCACAACTTTGGTCTGAATATATTTTTGATTGGATCTTATCCTGCAGAGATAAAAAGGACGGGTAGTCTGAGACATCCTGTATATATAT